TCTATGGAGAAGATTTGGGTTTGATCTGAAGGTTTAGGGTTCGCTTTTTGAGGTTTTAGTGATGACTAGTGGTCGTTACAGGAGGTACTGGAGGTCTGTGAGAGAGATGACCAATTGAATTTAAAGAAGAATAAGATAATGGTGCCAAAGTGATGGTGATGAACATGTGGTTTCGTGAGGTGGGTAATCTGTGGAGAAGATGGTTGATATGGTTGAATCTTGTTGCAGGTTTCAAGCTTCAAGATGATAGTGATAATGGGGGCGTCGGTGATGAGAGTGGGTGAGAAAGAGGGGATAAAGGTAGGAGTTGGGGGTAAATGGAAGGGATATATATATATATATATATATATATATATATATATATATATATATATATATATATATATATATATATATATATATGCTTAGGTTGTTCTATTCAAAGTAATTATTGTGTTATTGTATGCATAAATGTGGGCCAATCAAATTTACTTATTTTAAGAAAGTGATTAATATATATTATTGAATTAAATATAATTGAAAAATATCATCTAAATTAATTACAAGGGTATTTTAGTCAATTAATATATATTTAATAGAGGAAAGTTGCATTTTTTAAGGGATCATAGATTCTATTAATTTTACAAATCCGATTTTACGAATTATAATTCTTTTAATTCGGACATTCTGACAGAATATGTTTATGAGTATATTCAAAAATTAAAATATTATTGAACCATAAATAATAAAAATATTCTTGAACCTATTTCTTGATCATGACTTTAAAAACTTCTTGTAGAATAACAAATTCTTGAACAATCAATTGAAGAATAAAAACAAAAAATACATTATTTCTTATAATGTACGGGTAACAATTGTTAAGAATTTCATTTATTGTTAAAGAATAAAACTAAAAAAACTTTCAAAACGGGAAAGAAAACATCAAAATCTAACAACGACACTAATACATTTTAAAAGAATAATGTTGCTTAGAATCACTTTCAGCTTTGTGGTCCATTCTTCAAGCATCAACTTCTGTGAAAACAAAACCAAATTGTAGTTTAGATTCCAATAATGCATTAGCAAATGAAAAATAAAAAACTAAATTCCTTTGGAAAAATATGTGGACTTTTGAATTGCACCAAAACCAATAACCAAGAATTGTAGAACATGCATAAATTAGTAAGAAAATATCCATACTCCATTCCAACAGAATTAGAATTCATGATTCCATTCCAATAGAATTGGAATTCGTGATTCCATTCTAATAGAATTGGAATCTCACCAATATCATCCATTGAATCATCTACAGAAACAAATTGATTTTTATCATATAAGAAGAAGTAAATTTGATATGAAATGATACCATTTTTTACCCCTCTTGCTCATTGGTAATTACTCTTTTCCCTTTTTACCCTTCCTTTGTATGTGTAATGTAAATTTGATATATTGTTTGTATTTATGTATTTCACTTAATGTGTTTATATAGACAATAATGTCTTTCTTTTGATCTTGCCATACAATAGACTAAGGGATACTATTGTGGATTTTCTGCTCCACAAATTTTGAAAAGATAATACTTTAGATTCATGTGGGCTTGTGTAAGTGGCTAGGTGTGGTAATGCACCGTTTAAGTTACTACGCACATTTAAAAAAAATCATGAGATGATCTTAAGGGTTGTCATCCCATTTGAGTTATTACACACTACAATTTGTTTTCGAATTGCACATACCTGCTTCTCCACATTGCATCCAGATTTTTTTAAGGTAATTGATGCTTGAAATTTCGATTAGAGATTTCAATTCACACCGGATCGATGTCAAATAGAACAAGAATCAAGAGGGAAAAATCAGAAAGACCGTCGTTTCCCTCTCTGGTGGTCAGCGCTGCCGCCATCGACGACTACCCCTCGCTCTCTCTTCTGTTCCTATCGAGCATTGAGATCTGAATCGGGAATGAGGAACCTGAATCGGGATGAATCGAGATTAGTACCAGATCCGATAACTCGATTTGACGAAGAACATGGAGACTCGTCGGTGGCGTTATGGTCAAGCATAAGCGTAGGAGGGGTGCCCATACTTAGCTTTTTAGAGAGGCAACAAATTGCATATGAGAAGCATACACTTGAGAAGATTCACAGAGAAGTTTTTAGTTTTATGGGATAAATTTAGGGTTAGAAAAAGTCAATTAGATATAAACCTAGATAAATTAGGTTAAAAGTCAATACCATGATTATAGGGATTATTTTTGGAAGTTATTAATCATATTACTAAATTACCCTTATTTATTTATTTAATTATTTAATTATTTAATCTTTTGTTTAATTTTGATTGGCCCACATTTATGCATACAATAACACAATAATTAGTTTAAATACCTGAACCTAGCTCTCTCTCTCTCTCTCTCTCTCTCTCTCTCTCTATATATATATATATATATATATATATATATATATATATATATATATATATATATAGGGCTAGGTTAATGTGTTTCCTACATTTATTGTGTGCTAGAATGCACCAATAGAAATTTAGTAAAATTAAATAATTATTTTATTAAACAAAGATAGATATTAAATGATTTCCGTAATTATATACATATTAAATAATATCCATAATAATAATTCTTTTTTTATGAAAACTAATTAAATTCGTCATTACTGTCAGTAATAATATTCCTTCAAAATTAATTCGCATCTAGGTTTTCATGTATGAGTTTGTGTTTTATTTATGAACCCACTCACTTAAAATACAACAATGTTGCATAGAATATGATTAGCGAGAGTGTATTTACTAGAATACACTCTTATTCTGTTGGAATATACTTTCATTCTTTTAGAATAAATTCTCATTCTACTATAATACACTCTCGTTCTCTATTTTCTAGACAACTTTGTTGTATTTTGAGTGAGTGAGTCATGAAACAAAATACGAACTCATACATAAAAAACTAGATGTGAATTCATTCTGAAAGAATATTATTGCTGATATTAATGACAAATTTAATTAGTTTCCATAAAAATGGATTATAATTATGGATATCATTTAATATACATATAATTATGGAAATCATTTAATATCTATCTTTATTTGATTAAATAATAATTTAACTTTTACTAAATTCTTATTGGTGCATTCCAGTACACAATAGATTTGAGAAACATTATATATATATATATATATATATATATATATATATATATATATATATATATAAAATGATAAAAGAAATAAAAGAAAATGAAAAAAGAAATTAATAAGGGCAAAATAATCATTTCATGTCAATAAGGATGAAGCGTGCAAATTTATAACAAATGAGGGACGGTCCGAGTTGATTTTTGAAAATAGGGACTAAACATGTGTTTTGACATATGCACGAGAGACGATTGATGTAATTTACCATTCATTTTAATGATACAACTGTATTAAAAATAAAACGTTAATGTGACAATCCACTAAAATTAATATATTTTACTGTTGATGTAAGGAGATAGATAGATATTAGTGGAACTATTACTTTTCTTTTATGTAAAATTAATTGGCAAATCATAAGCTTAAAAATCACAACATTGAATGTACTACGTTTTAGGTCAACAAGGAAGACAAATCGAACATAGTTATTCTAGATGAATCATGGGCTAAGTAATATGCATCGAGTTAAAATAAATAAATTTATTGATTGCTAAAATATAGGAACAAAATAGGTTGAAACAGATGCTACCTGCAATATGACACAAATCGGGATTTAAAGTTTATTTCAATTAAATTTTAAATGCAAATATATCATCTGAGTATTATAAATGGTTATAAGTGAGTCGTGTTACTTGCATTGATATCAATTTGTTGAAAGCTCGACTCAAAATTGAGTTGAACGAGTACAAGCCAAACTCTGAGGGTCATTTATTAAACTAACTTGAGATCAAGCTTTAGTCTAAAAGTTCGATTAGGCCCGTAAGGCTAAATGAACTTCTATATAAAATATTAACAAATAATTTGTCCATCCTACATCCAAGGAAAAAGGTATAAGGGACTATATATGGTGTACATAAAGAAAAAAAAAGTACAATAATTAAAAGATGTAGATTCATTACATTGTTTTATATTTTTCCTTATTGGATAAAACCATATAGTATAATTGTAAGTGTTCTAAAAAGCATGTAATGGTGATGTCAATACATGTCATGGCGGCATATTAAAAACCTTCCTGGTGTTGCTAGGTATTATATTAATATACACTTCAACAATATTCAATATTCTAATGCTGATCATCTTTAATTTTCAATATTCTTTATAAAATGTATTTACATAAAACAATAATCATTATTATTATACTGTGATTCATAAGTCTAAAATGACATTTTAAACTTTAAAAAACTACCCTTTTAGGGATTATAAAATCTAACAAACAAACAACCCTGCTAACGTATTTTTGTGTAATAATAAATAAAAAGCAACACAATTGACAATTTAACAGCGTCCGCAATTCGAAATCCGAATAACAAGTCCTGAATACACCTTTTGAAGCCCGAATAACTGATTTTTTTTTTTTTTTTTTTTTTTTTTTTTGTCAATCTTAAATCCAACGAGAAAATAAAGATACTTATGGAAACTAAAGTAGATTTCGATAACTTAAATGCAATATACCCTATATACAACATGTACTTAATTATTTCATAAATCAAATGAAGATATAACTATATGGGACCGTGGGGATACACCTTATTTTTCCAAATTTTACAATCTATTTTTATTTCAACTTTATGGAAATATCCAAAATTGGTCAAAATTTGGAACGGAACTTCTATGAAAGAAATGAAAACAAATGCATGCATTGATTTGGTAGAGATGTATTCAATTTTTTGGATTCCTTGCTTTTTTTCGTTGATCAATTCATTGATGAAACCGAAGTAATCTCTATATAAAGAATCGTTGAGTTTCATCACTAGCATGATCAAAACAAGTTTATTGGTGTTAATTCTCTAAGTAGCATCGAAATATCAACGACATAATTCATCATCATGAGTTTCACCGCTGTCATTTCTTATCCACCACCGATTGATGTTCCCCGGTCATCAGAATCGGTTGAGCACGAGAACAATAACATTCAAGAAGATAAGGAAAACAATGTTGCAATGAAAACTCTTGTGACATCGACAAAAATTGATCTCTTAGGGCTTGGAGACGATAAGGTGGTGAAAGGCGGTGCTACTGACATACTGGTGGGAGGAAAATCTAATGAGGTGGTGCATATTTCGCCTGATCAGAGCGGAGTTCACGAGAATCCCAATGAAATAGTCTACAATTTTCCTCCAAATTTATCAGCTTTAAACATAAACGGACGAATGAGATTTGAACTCGTGACATTGAGAGAGAATGGACGGTTACAGATATTCATGGTACCATACCACTGTTCGCAGCTGGTAAGGAGTCCTCTGAGAAACGGTCGAGTGACGATGTGGCTTCTGAAAGATGCACATATGGATTTGGTATGAGTTTCTAGGAAACCTTTTTAGGTTCTAAAGATCATAAAATAAAACCACTTTTTACCCAGCTAAGTTGCTTTTTTTTTTCTAAAGCAATCAAATACAAATAAATAAATCTTTCTAGTTGCTTGTTGGGATCTACCGAATGGATATTGAGAATTTTGAATGAAATATTATGATTCACTTACTATATTTTAATACTTGTGTTTACTTGTTGTCATGCATCCAAGTTTTTCATTTGTAAAATTGTCTTTTTTTTCATAAAAGATTTAGAAAACCATATAAAAATGTTAGTATTCTTGCATTGTTTTTTTTATCCACGTAGCGTTGGTAACAGTGGCGGACCTTAGTGGAGCCCGGGGGTCCCGGGCCACTGTTCCGATTCCAGCACGTAGTGTAAAAAAAATTATGTTTTTTTATGTTTTTTCTATTAGGTGTATCGGCTTAAAATACGAGTGTCACTACTAATCTAGATTTTTTTGGAAATTTTTTTTTAGTGCCACCCCTACTAAAACGTTCTGCGTCCGCCACTGGTTGGTAATCTATTGGATATTATTAATAATGTGATTTTCAACTCAGCAATCTTTTTAAACTCATATTCATATTAATATATATTATATCATATGGTTCATCTAACGGTCGGCAATTTATATAATATGTGATATTAGATAATAGATATAGACATGACTGTCTAAAAAGGATTAAACAACATGTGTTTATAGATTATTATTTACTAGCAACAAACATTTATTGTATATATTATATAAGAAGATTTTTTTACATACGAAAAAATATATATTAATAGAAAAGTTGAAGGGTTTCTCCTAAAAGTTTATATATGTATATACATGTTATATTGTTGAAGATAGCTAAAGTATTCTTTTTTAATTATTCAGCAATTAGTTGCAAGACTTTGTACAATACGAGTTTATTAAAAAAAAAGTTAAATATAGAGGTCTAAACATTTAAGAGATTGAATTTATAAGAAAAATATTAAATTATTGAAATTGAAATACTCATTTTTCTTTTAAATTTAAACATATAATTTAAATAAAGAAAGAAAGAAAATAATTGGGCGTTTAATTTATGAATTTTGAAATTAAAAGGAAAATTGCATTAATGAAATTGATATACATTTATTATTATATTTATTATAATTATTACATTTAAATACTATAAAGTTTAATAAGATAAGAAAAACTCATAAAATTACAAATACAAAAAGAATATGACATTTATTTATTAGGATATACTATACATAAACAAACGTTATTGGGTTATGGGCTCCTTCCCAGGGTGAGTTAACTCGAGTAGTCGAGTTTCCCATTAATGGGTCTCAACTCTCAACTCTCAGGGGCCACCAATTTTGGACGTCAGGTAAAATGTCTTTATCGAACTGTCCCATTGAAAACGAGCCCATATTTGTATTTAACAGGCCTATATCTATTTTTTTTGTTTTTGTTTGAATAAATAACACTGATAATTTTTCTTTTTCCATATTAACCTACGAAATCAGGGTTACAAATGCTTATGATAATTTCTAACCAACTTAAGTGTATCACATCGGGCTAGTTGGACTGTTTGGTGACATTTCGGAGTGGACATTAGGTTGTTGCCTCTTTTAGAGTGAATTGTTTTGGACTAGATTTTCATTTTAGTATGTAAATAATTACTTAAATGAAAAAAACCAAATAATTAGTGCTTCTTCTGGAAAAAAAATCGTATTGGCTATGTGTGACATCCATTAAGCAAAAGTAGATGTGTAAATATGTTGTTTATCTCCTTGCATCTTATTACTATGTGTGTTGATTGAAACCCTAAGAAATATTCAAGTTCCAATCAAGAGCTCAAATGGTCTGAAATATCCGCAAGAATTATATTGTTGGCGCATTAAAGCAAGGTCGAATAACTTGAAAATGAGCAAGCCCACAAATATACACCAAAAAATGTCCGACCTTTAAGTACATACATGTTAACTCAGGTCTTGAAGAGCTCGATGAGTCGAGTTGTTATAAACTCGAACTCGACTCGTTTTGAGCTCATATTTCTACGTACTGAAGCTCGAATTATCAGACAAAATGCTTGACTTGTTTGCAGCCCTACTTGATTATGATACAACACCTGCATTTGATCATCAACATTCAACTTAACCATTTTACAGGATTATAAAGTAATAAGTATTAAGTATTAGGAACCTGCACTCCAAGTCAGGTTTGGGGACTTTATATTTGTTCAAAAGCAAGTCAACTTTATCCCTCCTCATGTCCATTCTTCAAGTTGCAAAACCCTAGTTTTAAGAAAGGATGAATAAGTCATTTCAAAATTCAAATATAGATGTAGATAGAAGGATGGATGAAAAATGAAGTGCATGCCTTTTTTGTGATTTCTTAAAAGGCTTCAGGGTTGGTGTACTCTAGCAGCATATGCGGTGACCTGTATATTTTTACCAATGTCCAGTACAAGACCTCTTCAACTACCAGTTCGCCCTCAGCTCTAGCAGCATATATATCCTCACAAATGGCAATCAATCTACACACACACACACACACCAAAGTTACTTTTCAGAATCAAAAATGCCAAAATGATGGAAAATCATAATTTACTTTAAATCAGCTGATATTGGGCTATAACAAATTTAGTAGCTTAGCTAAAAATAAAACGAGTTAAATAGTGAAAAAACGTACCTGTCACAAGAAGGAAGGTTCTCGAATGGAATTCTCATTCTCAAGTCAGAGCACTGAAGCCTTATGAAGCGACCAACTGCTAATACAAAGGTAATGTAGAGACCCCATATACTCGATTTGCTCAACGTCTCACCAAGAAGACCCTCTTAATCAGATTCAACAAATAATTATCAATATGTATTTTTTTTTAACTTTTTGATTATATATTTAAAGAAAGATGGACTTACGTGGCGTTTCCTCTGACACTACAATGGCCATGGGCCCCATCAAATCTCCACATGCACTTGAATTCAACCAATCAATATCGTAAAATGACCACCATTCTGAACTCCCACGATGCAGGAGAAGCTTCGCATCCACTCCACCTGCCTGTACATGTAATTTGTAAAATTAAAATTCCAGCATTAGGGTTAGGGATACAGCCATACAGGATATATATGTACCTTTTGGTCGAAGAGTCTGACATCCCCGGAACCAGTCAACCGAAAATACCTTGGATAAGTGTTATTTATCCTAAAGCTATTGGTGGAACCGTTAAGAACCTGCTCAAGTTCTGAAGGTGTGGGAAGATCTGAGCGTTGTATAGTTTGTTCATATTTTACAACTTCTTTGTTCTTAGGCCTGTCTCGAGTCAGCACCCAAGAAAATTTCATATCCATGGCCATATCAAGAGACTGAATGAACTTTCTTTGAATGGCATCAGGGACAAGCCACAAACTAATGGCATCGGCTTGGCAACATATCATTTGGATATCATCCACATTATAAGAATCCAGGTAATTATTGGGATCAAGATTAGCTGAAGGTTTCAACACGTTCCATGGTGTAATTGCACATAGAGTTGTCTCGTATAACATCAATCGTCCACCGTTTGTCTTTATGTGAAACTGAACACTTACATCATTAATAGGGTTCGCTATGTTTGTCGGGTTACCACTACTATACATCTGCAATTTAAAAATTTTTGTTTAAGAAATATCAAGAACCATGCAAAATCTTGTATATATAAATACAGAAATAGTAACTTACAAGCATAGGAGCCCATATGACACAGATTAATATAAAGAATAAGCATAAGCCATTGCAAAATTTAGTAACTTTCTTCTGCCTCTCTCCTTGTCTACGACCGGCCATGTTCAGAACTGCATCAGATTTGACAAGGTACAAACTTGCATTTATGTCCTCCAACTATAACCGCAAAATTACATACATCAATCAGTTGCTGAAAATCATTCATGATGAACATCAACATGAAAATGAAAAATCCTTTCAGGTTTCTATGGATAGTTAACTTCCTTTTTATTTCTGAAAATAAAGCCAAATTTTGACTTGCTTTCTTGTTTTATGTCCTTAACACATCTTGATAGATTAAAAAAAAATAATAATAATAGGAATTTACCTTGAGCCAGTCATACATGGTCAAAGATGTGGTGGTGCATGACCAATCAAGAACACATCTTAATTCATAGAGGAAAGGGAGTGCACGGTAGAGTCGGTAACCCAAATAATTAACTCTAGTAATGCTGCTAGTCAAAAACTGCCTATATAAAGTACTCTTATGAGGAACCCCTGATCGTATTTGCATGGCTTGAAGGGCCAAAGAGATGGCTTTAGTAAGATATATTGCACGCAATGCTAAACCTGCTGCATGGTGTTGTGAAGGTTCCATGCTCCAGGCATACTCCGTCACTGAGTATGTAAAAATTACAAGGTTACATATGTAAAATATCACTTTCCCTGTCGCAAATGAACACAGATATAGAACGCGATCTAGCACGATCAAGAAGAAGATAGCCTGCATATACATATATAAAATCTAATTAGCTTACACCCACCCCACCCTAAATAAGGTATTCATTCGAGTGATAAAAAAACTTGCCATCAAGATGAACACAAACTCCTTTGGAAACTGATCTTCCAGCTGATAAACATCTAGAAATTCGTTTTTATTCTTTATAACAGACTGGTAGAAAATGGCTACCAAAAAGAAAACAGCCAAATCCGCACCGAATATGTAGGCATATAGATCGATCTCTCTCTTTCCTCCCCCTATTACGGATACAATACAATAAGGAAATCCAAAATGTTTAGAAAGACCAGCATCTTCTGCTTCTATTATCTCCTTAGCCACATCAGCTGCAGGAGTGAGAGACTTGTAATTTTCAGCCATAATACATTCCTCCCTTGGTGATGCATACGTGACTTCAAAAACCGCCAATGCCACATTTGGGCTGTCTTTACTCTTTTCAATGCTACGTACTTGGACAGTACTTGCATAAGAGCAAGTGTCAGGGTCTGATATCTTGCATTTTGAATTATGTACAAATCTAAGCATTTGGTTGACTCCCGATTCTACCCTTGCTGGTTGAATCCCGTATTCCGGCCATGAATGAACATCTAATGATAACTGGATAAAATACGGGGGGGATTCTGCTTCTTGTGTCAGTGATTTCCAGTAATTAACACAGTTCCCGATGATCAGTTTAGCAATATTTTTTACAATCTGAAGAACCTTTTGTGTGTTCTCTCTCCAACTTGAACTAAAAAGAACCTCCTTAGGGTTGACGATTCTCCCTGTGAAGTTGCTGAACTCGGTTGCGAAAATCCATTCGCTGTCTTTGGCAGTTATAGAGCTCTGAATGAGGGTAAATAGATAAACTAGAAATAGTGGCAACAAACTGACAACGAATGAAGAGGTTATTCTGTTTGTAGGAAACCCCCATTCCGGAAGAGAGACAGAATCGATAGTGATCCCACAATGTTGGATGATGATTTGATACACATACTGAATCAAAATATAGAACTCCGTGTAGATCAGCATTACAACCCAGAAGATGTAACTAGGTCCGGTGTTCACACAAAGAGCATACAAGAAGAGAGCTGCAAGATACACCATGGAAAGCAGGCTAAAGTTCCAAAGAAAGACAAGAAGGAAGCAACAGTAGCAGACAATGTCATTATTCGATTGCATCTGTCCCCATATATGTTGAAAGATTATCCCACAACTAGCTGACTCAGAACCAGTTCTACTTCTTTCAGATTGCAAAGAAGATGAACGATTCGAAGCTATGTGACTCTCGTTTTGGCTTTCTGTCTCACTATTTTTACCAGTGGGTGATAACGAAGTCGGGTCATCCGAATCTAAGTCTTCTTGAGGGATATTTAAGTAATTTGCTAAGTTGGAAACTGCCCGATTTCCAATCGACTGTACTTGAGAAACACCATCACCTATCAACTGTACAGCAGATATCAATGTGCTTTCTTTCATAGGCCCTTTACCTTTCTTCTCCATCTCTGCGATATCCTCATCAAACTCAGCAACTTCAATAAGATGCGAGTTTTCTGGCGACTCGAATGCAGGTAAACTTTCGGTTCCATGGAATTCAAATGGTAATGGCATCTCCATATTAATATCCGACGCATGTTTCTTGAGATTATCTTCTTCTTTATTAACAACAACACACTGAGTGGTATAATCGGTATTTAAAGAGACAGCTCTCCTTCTTCGTAGCCCTTCGTTACGAGGTGAATCATCATGAGTATGTTCATGAGCAGGACACGTAGTGTGAAGCTGGATCTGTAAGTTTAGCATTTCGGATTTCATCTTCTCCACTTGCATGTTCCTCTGGCGTTTCTTCTCTTTGTCTTCACGAATATGCTGCAACTGCTCAGTTTTCCATGCAGCCTTCTTCTCTTGTTCGCGTACAATCGCACCAATTTGCTCAGCTTCGAGATATTGGAATACGTAATTTAGCTCTGGAGAGGAAAACATGTATGACTGCAATGACACCAGAATGAAGATGATAATCTCAACCAAAGCAGACCTTGAGGTAATCCGGAATCCATAGTCATACTTATAAAATCCGATAACTTCATAAACATAGTCTATGGTTTCACATTTCCCCTCGTTAAAAACACCCACGAATGGTGATTGATAGGCAAGAGAGAGAACAATGACAGCAAAGTTGTATATCCGCAACCACTTAAAGATCTTGTTCTTTTTCTTTAGTATTGTAAGTCTGAGTCGGAAAAGACTTAGAGCAAAAGCGAGATATCCAAGGTGTAATATATCGTATTCGAGAGTTCCGGTGATTAAAATTAAGGCGAGCACAAGATCCAACAGATGGCAGTAGCAGTATAGTCTTAAATAGTCAAGAAGAGTCCAGATGGTTTTGGTTTCAAGCGAAAGGTCTTTCCAAACAAACGCATTCTTGCGTTGAGAAATCATTTGGCGATATGTGTATGATCCTGAGAAACTACAGAATCGATCGGCTCGCAGCTTGAAACATGAAAACTTGAAGACTATGAAGTAACTGATCAGCACTCTTGGGTCATCAACAGTAAGTCCTACACACACAAAACAAAAATTAAGAATGCAAATGTTGATGATTTCATGATCCATTTTGATATTCAAGTTACACCATGTTAATTTCTAGATGAATTCATCAAAAGTATGAAGAGGAGAGAACAGTACCTAGCCAGCAGCGACGGCAATAGCTGAAATGAAATTCCGAAGTCCTCCAGCAGTCATGGCAGTGTAAGGTGTTGTCACTTTCACCAAATTCACTTAAAGGCCTTTCAGTCTTCCAAATGGCAAAATATTCAAGTAAAAGAACACTAGCAAACAGGACAACAAATAATGACCATGATCTTTGTACTAGTTGTCGGCCAAGCACAACACAAGCAGCAAGTGATGCGATATACAGCAGAGAAATGGCATTAAGAAGAGCAAAACTCGCAAGAAGCAATGCGATCATGTTAATCTCAAGGCCAAAGAGGATGAACATGTTCTCCATCCAAAACTTTAAGTATATCTTTAAGGAAGTCTTCTGCATTTCAAATCTCTCTTTTCTTAAGAAAAGAACCTGCTTCTTTTTCCATTTATGGTTCTCATTAACCTGTCCCCAAAAATACCCAAGCATGTATCTTCTGTTATTATTCTTGGTACCTGAATCACCAGATGATTCTTGGTTGTTTGCTGGCCAAGAGTTGATGCTTCTCAACCCCATCTTTTTAATAGATGAAAAAACATTATCCTCATCTGGAATCGAGGCAACTGGTAACACATCTTCTTGAGAGAAAAACAATGGGCAAGGCTCTTCCCATTGACCTACACCCGAAAGCCAACTGGGAAGCACCTCTAACCAATGGAACACATTATACTGAAGGGTACATGCAGCAATGACCAGTACCTTAGCCCTCAACCCTGCTTCTAAACCTCTAGCTCCAGGCTGATACACCTTTAACCCTAGAAAGTTGGAAAAAGCAGAGTGTTTTTGGCCAGGAAACATTGAAGCTTGTTCCCCACACAACTGGAATAAATACTCTGATGTCACGAGAAATCCCGTGTAAACCAAAAATGATTTTGATGGGATCCGGGAAGCTTTTGGTAAAATTGAGCAGAAGACAGTGCCAAGAAGATAGAGAAAACCGAATGCACTTATTGGAGATATTGCTGCGTAGAACATAGCAGCAAACAATATTTTTTGACTGTGCCATATTAGAAGCCTTCTAATAAACCCAATCACCCCAAACTGGAGCCGATTTGTGTCCTCTAAGTTAGGATACCTGTTTTGTCTCCTCTCATAGCTATAAAGTTGCATTGCGATTGTTATTGCTAATGCTTCCGAAACGTTTTCAAATACTGCTGCTTCTGAATTGTAGCCAAGGTATTTATAAAGATCAACTTTTGTGGATATCCATCCCTCAAAACTTGGGAAGATGCTCAAAATATAGATGAGAATAAACATCACGATTGAATATGCTTTCAATGGGAACCATAGACGCTTTCTTGTCTTCTCAACAAGTTGTCTGCCAGTAATCCAGAAAAGGAGAAGAAAAAGGTACCCAAATGACACGTAATTAGGTGGAGTCATGTAGACTGTGATAAGTATAGTTACAAACGCGATGTAAGTGCCAAATGAACGATATAGCGATAGAAACCTCTGCCCTATTGCACTGAGATATGATGCCACTTTTCTCTCTGAAACAAAAAAAAAACACACAGTTATTAGAAAAGTTCATAATATAAAAATTAGAAGAAATGGTGAATGTACCTTGGGAGGGGTTATCATCTATGTGTGTAGAGTTTGCAACAGCATAAACAGATAACAAAACTGATTTATTCAGACCAGCTTTTAAAATACTAAATCCAATGGGAGGGCGAGGTGTGTGCTGCACAATTGCTGAGAAAGAAAACAAAACTTTGTGACCATGCTTCTGAATGGCACAGAAACCTGCAAGCAAAGCTATTTCCACAAAATCCCAGGTGCTATCACATTCAAGGAGACCTGCATCAATTTGGTTACAATTCTTATTATTTAACAGAATAAATAGAAAAGCAGGAAACCATGTGTGATAACTAATCCCACATTGGTTACAGATTCAGGTTTATTTGAGTTTATGTGTAGGATTGGTGAACCAATTAGAAATAGACAATACCTAACTGAGATAAAATTGCCCAACTTATAGTGTCACTTTTCCTCAAGGCCCCAGAGACAAGATTTATCTGAAGAGTGTACAAGATTGCGAAATGAATCTCACACAGAAGAAGTAAGGCGCCTTGCACTCTCGGGCTGATGCGGTGGCTCAATAAATACAGAAAAAAGAATATCACTGAAGCACAGATAAAATAGTAGCACTTATAAGGGCTTGTTCCATAATCAGATCAGATAGTAGTAAAATTATATAATTAGAGAGTAAACGTACTATATACAGCATGGATGAAACCAGGCTTCATTGCAATGAGAAATATTTGCACTAGCATGATTGCTCGGTTACATTTGCGAAGCACCCAAGCGATTGTGGCTACAATCAGCACTTTTGTTTCTTCTTTAACTGCATTTAGAATTGCTTTTAGTAAGAATAACAAATTAATCAGTAAGAATTGAGAAATTAAATTTGAAAAAAAAAAAAAAAAAAAAAAAAAAAAGACCTTCAGGGGTAGAGTCTCCATCAGACGTACTGGGGACCTCATCAGAGAGGTAGAGGAAAACAGAGTTGTTGACAAGGTTAACAAGGGCAACTAAAAATCCAAGACAAAACTGAGCAAGGATAAAGAAACCAGGAAATGGATAATGCCACAACCCCACCATTTCCCAAACCTGTGTGTCCTGTATATGCAATTTAAGGAAAGAAACATGCAAGATTATTTCTCATGAAAGGGAAATAGAATGAAAAAAAAAAAAAAAAGATATTACCTTTCCAAGCTTCCCATTCTGGTGTGAGAAAACTACATTGAAAATATATGTACTGACAGCCCAAAACAGAATGAAGACAAGGAGCAGCCCGTTTAGTCTGTGCAAACGGAACAAGGATGGGAACACAAATATAATGTAGCCGACGTATCCAAGTAACCCAAATGCACACACACTTGCATAATAGAAGCTCCATAAGGAAAGAGCAAACAAGGACACCTGTCAATTTCATCACTGAAAATTTAACAAAAATAAGCCGAAAGATAATTGACATGCTCGACTTAACCTGAAACCAAAATACATTGACTAGGTCAAGGAAGCAACAATCATGTGAAGAAAAATGTTGCACTTATAAACTATAGAGATTCATATAAGATTTAGACAGAACAAATCCAAAGACAGTCCACACTACATTTATTAAAAAAAAAAAAAGAGCCTAAATAACATCACTACTACAAGAGTGCTTATCGATATTTAGATTCAATCAGATCATGTCCTTGACCTCCAAACATACTATTTAGGTTTCAATGGTAAATTATGTATTAATGAGGTAGTATATTCATGAAATATCCAATAAAACTTATATCATAACAGATTTTGTGGATTAATGCATAATAATAAAAAGGGCCATGACAGTATAAAACTTATGAGGGCCTTTCATATGCTACAGGATCTTTGGTTAGTAACCAGATTAACTACAAATTTTAGATTCATGTTTTGCAAGTATAGCCTAGTCATGATTGTACACTTGAACTTCTGTTTATGAAATTTTACAACAGTTTACATCATAGTACTTAAAAGCATGTGATACTTTCCAGAAACAGAATTTGATTACGTTTTATGCATGCAAGAAACTAGGTAGCGAGATTTACTAGAATTCCAATTTGATGTAAACATATTTGATCAGTTGTTTGTTATACATCTAATGATTATAAGTATTTCCAGTTAAGGGTACGTACTGGGGCACCATAGGTAAAGAAATTGATGCTGAATGTCCGAAAAACTGCACCTCTTAGTAAAACATTGGTGTCTCGTTCACCAGATCTACAGATGATATTGCCTTAAATTAAATCATACGATAACTTTGATACATATAAACCAAGTTTGCATTATATTTTAACTCAGTTACCTTGATTCACGGATGAAAAAAGAATTTGTAGATGGGAGAAGATGTTCAGCCAAGTTGCCTTCTCTCATGGACATGATCAAATTCATTTCCTCCAAGTCAAGTTTGACAAAAGATAACTGCATAAATGCTGCAAAATTATCAACTGTACCAAAGTTTGATACATTAAGCAGCAAAATTTGCAGTTATCTACATGGGTAACTAAGTAGAAATACACCAAACACAGAAAGATTTATGTACTGATTTTGTATGACTTCACCGTGGAAGCAATCAAACTATTGAAAAAGTTCCATTTTAACCACTCCACTATAAAACACGAAATGAAAATGACGAAAATATCCTTAATTTTGACCCATTTTGTGTAAATGAACCAGACTGCATAGCTGGTCTTTGATTTTTTTTTTTTATAGTTGAGCTGCCTAAATGAAACTTCTCTAATAGTTTGTTGGACTCCATAGGCATTTTCTTTATAAGTAGTTTTTTTAAGGGAGGGGGGGGGGGGGGGGGGGGGGGGGGGGGGTGGAAAGTATAATGTTGATAGAAATCTAAAGAAAATGTTGGCAAGTTCCTGGAAAAAGGTGTACCCCGAAGAAATATATGATCAGCGAAAGACCAGAACAAATTTCTGTCCAATCAGATTCGGAAGAAATTCTGTATAGGCCGATGAAATCACCTATCATATTCGGTGATCTTGTGGGGAGCTGATACATATACAGAAAGATAATATTGAATCCCGCGTATAGCCAAAGAGCTCTCCACCACCTTCATAACAATTTAAACAAATGCAAGCAAAATTCATTATATATTACTTTGTATAACAAGTTTAAATATTATGATAGAAATCTTCACTTTGTATAACAAGGATCAACATTTTTTTTATTGTACTAGGATAATCAACAAGTACTATAAAGTCACCTGAAGACACCATGAAAGTTGCTCGATAATGACCAATCCACAAGACCCACACAGCTAGAAACGAAAAATGGTAAAGAAACCCAAGAAGTGTTGCTGATACCCACAACCAACTGAACAGCAGGCAACAGCAAGAAGAAAGCAACCTTCACATGCGAGCCTTCCATACCACCAAATGGGGACAGAAAGATTCCAGTCAATTTATGACAATAATTTCTAAGAGCTCAAGTTATGTCAAACATTCGACTTGTATCAATTTTGTTTAAATAAATCCCAGTCAAAAGTCAAGGGGGTCAAGTTTCATAAGGAAATGTGAAGTTGAGGATCAGTATGTTGGAAAGAAATCATCAAGCAAAGCTTTAAATTTATTAACTTGTACTAACCTATTCGCTCTATGGCTTCTGCAAGATCCCCCAAAAATGAAGATGACCATGTAAACAAGCCTAATCTGATTTCATGGAGTTCAGTCGTAGCAGTGAATGCTGCTAATAGTTGCAAGATCAAATAATAAATTATTTTTGGTGATCTTGGTCTCTTGATTCTGCAAAAACATACTTCATTAGTATGCATGACAGATTAATTACACAGCAAGAGCCAAGAGCAGCTGATGCTGATGAGATTGAAAATTTAAAATCTCACATCATGAATCCTATAAACTTTGCCCACACAGGTTCTTCTGCACTGCATCTTCCACACCAAATGGCCCATGCTAAAAGAAAAGTCAATTGTGAAAGGATAACAACAAGTGAGTAAACAACAATACCCCATAGTACTACTCTCCCCTTTGAGTGAAATCCTACAAAAGAAAAATACATCAAGTAAGCTTGATATTGCTTAACAGATACACTATAAGGAAGTGTTATGTCAGATGCATTTACAGCGCATGAATAATGCAGATAGAAACTGGAGCTCGTCTTCAAAGAGATTAAAGATGTTTAAGCAGTCCTACTGTATCTGATGAACGAATATAGAGTAATACCTCTTTCCAGATGAACGAATAGAATAAGTAGAGAACCTAGCAAGTTCCCAAGAGAGATCAAACTCCAATTCAGTAAAGCAGCTGCAGATACAGAAACGATTAGCATATGTATAGAAAGGTAATAGAGTGTCAGATAAAATTGTCCAAGATTTAACAAATTCTTTCAACGTTTACCCCTGAGCTAACTCATTTATTTGTACGGAAAAATTGTCCAATAATCTCAATTGACAGGACTCAGTGAAAAACGTTATACGAATTGACAACAATTTGACATAATCACGAACAAAGTCGCAAGTACAAAGATCACAGTGCATTGTTTTGTCACTTCAATTTTGAAGTCCACGCTAATCTAAACTTATGTAGAGAAAACAAATACTATAATCTGTATTTTAACGACAAACATGAGGTACCTACATGAATCCACAGTAATAAAATCAAACGCCATGCATGCACAACACACATCGTTTTGCCCTTAATTCACACTCGATTGTTCTGTAAATAACTTTCTGGTGATCTTCATATAAAACTTGCCCAATTAAATAACGAAGAAACAAAATTTTACCTGTAAATAGTAGCAATGACAACAGATATCCTCCGACTAATACCCCCATTGTTGGCTCGTAAGGTCGAAGCCAGATCTTTCATATCATCAGTTGATTATTTAATCAGACTTTCAGTGGAGATTCTCTTTTCGAGCAAAAAAATCGAAAATTTTGAATCCAGAAGAAGCTATTTTTCCCAGTATTGGTTCGATTTCTGTAAAGTAACAGCAAAAATCAGAAAAGGCGAGTGGATCTTGATGGAAGATTTACGTAAAATTGCGAGCTCCATGTACATCTACGATTAGTGTGATCACGGAAAGGTGATTACGTAATTTTGATTTGAAAAGACTTGTCCAAGACCACGTGGCTGAAAAAGGACAGCAAAACAAAAAAAAAATGCGTTTGCCGGGAGTCGAACCCCGGGTCTATTGCTTGGAAGGCAATTATCCTAACCGTTGGACTACAAACGCAATTTGTGTTACAATCTTACCCGTTGTTGACTCATCTAAATAGTCATGTCTCTTGTATTGATTTACTTCCCATTTACGTTGTTACACATTAGTAGTATAATCTATGTTGTGTTACCAGACATTTTTATTGTGTTGCTCTGTATCCTGATTTTTATACGTATCTAGTTTCTGGGTTTATATTTTTTATGGACCAAACGTTTGATATTTTTTTCAATTTTGTATCGGTTGAAATTTTTTGGATAACCTATGATTGTCGATTGGATCCACCTAGGAATTTCCAACAAAATCAACATTGTAGGATCCATATTTATATGTTGCAAACTTGGGAGGAGTCACATTTTAATTTATTATATTTGTTTTCTGAAAGCATGAACTATAAATTCTAAAGTATAGATCATAAATTAAAAACTGCTTCTATACACTTTTCCATGCAATTTGTTTTATTTTGAGGTTTATGAGTTGTGTTTTATCACCATCAATGTGACTTGCAGTGATCACTTGAATATTAAGCACTTTTAAATGGAATTGCATTCACGTTCAAATCTCATATGCTTTTAAATTGAGTGGCACGTTGCAAAAAAAAATTGATTGTTTAAAGTTGTTAAAAGTTGAGCCGCCTTCTACCTTTATGGTTCTTATTTCATTGTCAAATTACATTTTTGGTCCCTGAATCTTCCAAGTTATCATTTTATGTGTTTATGTTTTTCTAAATTAACCATTTTGCAGTATATGCTCATCTCCTACTCCTACAGGGACCAAAAATGTAGTTTACTCGAGATTTAAAGTAAAAAGCAACTTTCAACAAAATTCTCAAACTATAGGGGCTTTGTTGTAAAGATAAATGTTTCCCGATTATGGACCTCTTGCGGCGTCGTTTCGTCGATAGAGCGTTCGAATTATAGACATCCTCCTCCTCCCCTTCCTTATCCCTCCTTTCGCTTCTCCAGTGAAGAGCATGAACTCTTTACTGCCAACGTCCGTCTACAAAGCGCCATTGTCGAATTTCTTCTGCATCAATCCTTCAGCTCTTAGATTAACTCCTCGATTTCGTGGCAAAAGCTTCAACGTTCACGCATCTTCAAATGAATTAGATACGAAAACGGTGGATGAGGGCAAAGAAGAGTATCAGGAATCGATTGGAGTTACGAATGCTGAAACAAAGAAAATTTCAGTTGGAGCAACATCGAGCACTCCAACGATCGAGAAAGACCTAAAAAAGGTAATACAAAAGCCTAATCTACAATTTGTTCCAAACTGTATACGAACGGTTGTGAATTTCATAATGAAATAAAAGAGCAGTTAACAAATTTAAGATAACATTTTTGTGGTAATCACTCGAAATTAGAGTAATATGATTAATCCATTCACCTTGAAAGCTGAAACAATCTCATTCCAATTCCAAAATTCTATGATTAATTGATGAATGCAATTACTGAATTACATTTGAAGAAACTCGTCTTTGGTTGAAGTGGTTGAAAGTTGTGATGATAATGAGTTGATCCTTGTGATTAAGGAAGGGATGGATATATGAGTTTTTACTGGGATAATTAAACATGGAAAACTATTGTATTTGGTTTGAACAGGTTGTCCAGAAAACCGCTGCTACATTTGCACCCAGGGCGTCCACAGCTTCAAAGAATCCAGCAGTACCTGGAACAACACTATACACTGTATTCGAGGTTCAAGCGTATGCATCAATGCTGTTGGGTGGAGCTCTCTCTTTTAACCTCATATTCCCCTCAAATGAACCTGATATCTGGAGATTAATGGGAATGTGGTCAATCTGGATGTTCAGTAAGTGCCACGACCACTCTTCACTCTTTCATAGCGCTTTAATTGAGTAAATTGTCTTTGAATATTATCATATGACCTGTTACACAGCTATTCCTTCCCTTCGTGCAAGAGACTGCTCAAAGAATGAGAAGGAAGCTCTGAATTATCTGTTTCTCCTTGTCCCATTGCTGAATGTTACAATCCCCTTCTTCTTGAAATCCTTTGCACTCGTTTGGTCTGCAGATACTGTAGCTTTTTTTGCTATGTACGCATGGAAGGTACCATAATTACTTTATCTGCACCTCTTTCACACCACTACTTGTAATCTTTCTCTGTTTATTAACTTGTATATTGATTTAATGTTTTGTGCAGCTTGGTTGGTTACAGAAAACTGATTAGCTAGGTCTTGCTATGAAGATCTTTATTCAAAAAAACAAGTGGATTTGGGGTTTTGGATGTTGATAGCTTGTTCAAGCCAAGGGCACAGGATCCGTTTACATTTTACAATAGGGTAGGGAAATGTATATGTGATATGATGATATTCATGTCCCTATGTGATGTATGGATGTGGTTGCATAGGTGTTGTATGTATGTTTACAATGTGTCTTAAGACAGGGGGATGAAATGAAATGTATATGGTGAGAAGGTGGGTTCAGTAACGGGTAATTATACGGTTGGGTCGGTTGACCTACAAACACTTTTTATTAACTTTACAAATAATTTAATGAATTAAATATGACTTCAAAAATGATTTAATGAATTAAATAATTTAATAATCCACTTTCTTTTAATAGAGCGATTTGGAGTTCCCATGCAGTTTGAATTCAAATTGAATCGTTTTCCATCTTCAAGTCATTTGCCATTCACCAATTGGCATATATCAGTTTAATTTTTAGGTTAGCTTAATTACTTGATAGGCTGAAATTGTCACCTCTACTTTTTTGATTCATAGTGTAAACGAATTATCCAAATATAAAACATGATACCAAATTACCAATCCATAATCTTATATATCAAGAAGTTGGGGCCAAAATAGTTAAGTTGCTTTTATGGATTAAAGTGAGTGAGATTGGATCGACCCAAAAACACCTTTTGTCCAATTTTCAATATGACAAATATATTAAATATTACATAGTTTTTAAAATACTAATGTAATTATTTTTACGAATAATTAATAGTTTTTAAGCATTTGAACATAGATGAGACGACTTTTACTTATTTGACATGTTTTCTTTTAAGCTAATAGTTCACAGTTTTGCGCTGTTAAAAACAAAAGAATCTTACACAACCCATTTATAGGTTAACAACCAAAACTGTGATATCTAATTCTAGTCATCAAAGGGAGTGAAGGATAAGTATAGTAACAAATTTCTCGGACATCTATGGTTTTACTCTCATGAGTCATGCTCTTTTTAAAATTTAATTTCGTCAAAATGGTGTTATTTGGATCCAAATTGTTAGAATAGAACGTCAACTTAATAAATGAGGGTAGAAGTTAGGTCAGGGAAAATAGGTTAAAAATCACAAGCCAACAGATTCCAACATCCAAGTTCACCAAGAGAAGCTTAAACCTGAAGCCCAACATTTGCAATTTACCCACCCAAAGGCCTATCACATGAGGGTAGATCACAAGGTACCATCAGTAGTTTTTTGGGCGTGCCAGGTTTTAAACCCTTGACCTTCCTTTAAGAATTTCACCCTTCATCTACTTGGCTCCCATTACAGGGGCAAAAATGATAATTTTGAGCCCCTATAAGCCTTAAATTGTGGGCTACCACCATGTTTTTAAGTTGGTCAAGAAGTTATTGGGCTATTCTGTTATTTGGGCTTTGAACCTGGGGTGTTGCACCTAAGTAGAAGTATATAACTATATTGTTCTCATCCTTTGTCTAAAAGGGTGTCCTTATAATGATCTATAAAGATTCAAGTCTTTTGGACAACAAAAATTATACTAATATGTATTCATAAAACTGGAGTGCAAGAAAATACATAAAGAAAAACCAATACAATTTTAACTTCTAAAACCTGATTTAGACATTGATTTGCATAAGTGTTCGCTAATTTGTAAGTACTATTTTCTGTCATGGATTATGAAAACTAATACATGGGAGAGACAAAATTAAAGTGAGATAATGTAAGATATTTTACATACCTCATAACATTTTGAGCATGTAGGCTCCATTAAATTCGTTCTTGTGCTAGCATAATCAAGATGCTACAAGTACTCTTCATCACTGTCCTCATCAAAATCAGAATCCGATCCATCATTTCTGGGTTCCATTAAAGTATTCATATCAAATGACGAATCATCTTCCATCTCCTCCATATCTATCGTGTCATAATTCATCCGTTCCTTGAATTTTGCATCAGAACAGTTAAGAAGCCAAGCAAGAGAACATTTAAGTCCCTTTTTAGCAACCATCCGATGCCTTGGTCTTATAGTTGACTCCAAACCATAAGTAAAAAAAGCCGGAAAATCAACTAACTCATCCAACTCCCGTCCCATCTTGCTTTCAAAATAATCAAAATTTAATTTCATTATATCCATATTCAAAGCAAGCAACTGTGGACACCCAACAACCATCTTTTTCACTTGATCTAATGAGAACCCACAATTTTTCAAAAAATCCACATGCTTAATAACCGGTGTGTTACTCAAGCTCACAATCTGTGGCATTTTCTCAATAATTTTCCCAAAATCTTCATGACTGAAATCGATTATGGAATTGAGGAAGCTTTGTTGTTTCAGCAACCTTGACCCAAGGTCCAAACCTATGATTTCAGGATACTGTGCAATGACAGAGGAAATAGACGCCTCCCTGACACCAAATTGTTTTAGGGAGTTGACATTTGGTTTGACTTTTTGTTCAAGTCCGAACCCGAGTATGTGGGGTCGTGTTTCGATTAGCCTGGCGACAGCTAATGTTGGTATTCCTAAACTTTCAAGATAATCAACAAAGGGTTTAATCACTCTTCCAACTCTCATTCCAAGAATCTCTGGATATCGAGTCAAAACCCCACCAATTTCTCTTCTTGCAACTCCAATTCCCACCAAATAAGCTACAGATGTGCTCATTGTCCCTTCAAGTTTATACCCCAAAACTTCCGGATACTTTTCAAGAACTCTAGGAATGTCATTTGGTTTGATGTCCATGCCTTCTAGATATTTAACAACAGGTGCAAGATCTACCACAACACTGGCATGAAGAACTTGAGGGTATCTTCTCAAGAAATCTGTCAAAGTAGATCGCCTAACACCCAACTTACCTAAATAATCAAGGACTGGGATCATGTTTTTCTTGACACTACAACCGAGGACAAGAGGGTAATTGTTAATGTCTTCGATTGTTAACCCTAATGTGTGAAGAAAATCAACACGTTCTTTCATGACATCAACTGTTACAGGAAGCTCCAACCCATCAAGCTCATCTGGTTCTATACCGATACTTTTTAAGAAATCATAAACACGGGCTCGATTTGCAATCCTTTCGTTCTTCATTTCTAGTAAGCTAGCACGGCTGTATATTGATGAGGATCCTCCTTGTTTTCGGTTCATACGAACAGAGTCTGATTTGGAGTCTATTGAATTTGATGCATATGGTCTACTGGAAACAGAACATTGTAATTTCGTGATGAAATTGATTCTCTTCTGGTATTGATTTGAAATCAGTATAGTTGGTGTTACAGGCTTGCAAAATGTAAGGGTAGATATCTCATGCTGCACGATTAAAATACTTGATTTTGGAATATGATTATAGCTTATCATCTTCATGCTCACTGCACATCCAAAGGAATCTGCACCAGAAAAATAGCAAATTAGGAGTCTAGGGCTTCAAAAGGAGTACATGAGGAACCATCAGGCTTACTCAAAAGAACAGATGAACTTCAGGTTCATTGTTTACAAGAAAAAAATTAGTTTAACAATTATGATGATAGTTATGGACTTACGTTAATACTCGGTGATATTAGATATAAATGCAATATAAACAGAAAACTAAGAAGCTTAAGGATAAACACTACAAAAAAGATGAGAAATTTGAACTGTGCATTGAACATACATAAACTAGGTTTGTTCACAAAAACGTAGAACAAAAACTACAGATGAATTCAAGGTCCTTTGTGTACAAGAAACATGGAAATGTAACTTCTAAAAGAAAGATTATGATAATACATGAAATTATGCTATACGCATACATGCCTTAAATTATTTTCTATTTCTCTTCCAAACTGTAAATTTTAAGCATAAATTCACACAAACAGAAAAATAAAACCCTAAGGATAATCAGTGACAAGAAGATTTAAAAGTTGAACAACAATCAAACATACAGAAATGTACAATTGTTTACAGCACATTGAACGAAACTGCAAACACGAAACAGATGATTCAAGGATAACTGTTTAGAAGAAACATAGAAGTGTAACGGTTACAACAATAGCGATTATGATAGAGCTTGTAATTGAGTTATTAGTTTATCCCTTCTATTCTTTTCTATTTCTGTTCCAAATTGCTGATAAGAAGTGATATTAAGAGGGTGTTTGGCTAAGCTTATTTAAAATGATAAGCACTTTTTAACTTATAGTGGTGTCAAAATGGACTTTTTACAAAAGTGTTTGGATTAGCTTATCGGTGTCAAAACGCTATAAGCTGATAAGCACTTTTTAGTATTTGGCAAAAAAAAATAAACTCCTTATATGTGTAAAATGACCAAAAATGGGTTCCTTTAACATATAAGCATATAAGCATCTTAAGAACATCATTCAAAAACACCTGGAGGAAATCAGTAGCAACTCAGTAGCATCTATTATTCATTCCCAAGTTACCAACATAAAAAAATTCAAAAGTTCAACATTAAAACATGCATACGAAAGTACTATCCCTCTCAGGCATTTGATCAAACAGCTTGCCTGCAAACACATTCCAATTTTTTTTACAGAACACTAGACACATCAGATTTCATACATTTCAACATTAAACACAATTAGCAAATCAGAAGCAGCAAAATAGTAGTAGCAAATCAATTATCAATGAAAGTAAGAAATCACCTAACAGAATTCCAGGGAAGAACTTGAACTTTACGACTGATATTAAAAAAATACTACAGAAATTTCGTATGTGAAGAAGGAAATCACAGGAAAAGAAAACTTTTTGGGTAAAAAGAAATCGACCAACAACATCAATTGGTGATTTCAAAGAAAGCAGAAAAAAGAAGAAAGAAAGCAGAAAAAAGAAGAAAGAATGGAACCTGGGATTGGGTGCGACGGAGTTGTGGCTATTGAATGTCTCCGACCAGTGGCTTCACAGGGAGGCGACGGCGAGCAGGGAGAATCGACGTGAGGAGCAGATAGCCAGAGGCGATGTTGTAATCGTAAGTACAAGGAGTAAGGTTTTATCTGGTTAAGGGGCACACTGGTCAATTCTTAAATCAGGTGAAATTATCAAAATTGACTTATTACAGGAGCAAAATAAGCTATTTTATTAAGAGAAATTAAATATCCTCCTATTTAATTGAGGAGGAGGATTGAAAAAAATAAAAAATAAAAAATAAAATAATAGGAGGATATTTAATTTCTCCTCTTTTAAAGTTTCAATACAAACATTGTTTATACAGTTATACGTATCCGGTGATAAATAAATAGCTCAAAGTATGGTTACTCAAACACATAACCAACAAACTAAAGCCCCAAAGGACCAATGACCCCAGTTGAATTTGACAGAGATACCGGGTTATATACTCATATGGATGAAGGTCGGAGGTTCTACTCCCGGTTGGAGCACATGTGGGGATTTGCGTGAAGCCCACAAAGGGAAATTGGTCTTTGGAGGTCACAAAGGGAAACTAGGTATCATGGTAGCATGAAAATACTCCGTTGCACCACCGTTCTAAAAATAAAAAATAAAGTAGGATATTTCCACTTCATTATTTGATTATATCTGTGGATATAGTCCCTCTTGTATGACTCAACTATGAATTTGGCCTCTCACTTATAACTTATATTTGATTTAGTCTTTCTTCTATGACTCAACTATGAATTTGGCCTCTCAGTAATGACTTATAGTTTATTTAGTGTGTCTTCTATGGTTGTATACTATTTCAACACACATAAATATAGTAATGTGAAAACATAAAATATAAGCAAACTAATCAATTGGCAAGGTCTTAACTCTTAACATATTAAAATTCATGACCAAATTCAAAGAAACAAAACCTGAATAAAACCCCTAAAATAAAAAATAAAAAAATAAATAAAATAAAAAAACAGCCATAAAAAGCTGTTTCTATAACCTAAACCAAAATATAAAACTAACCATATAAAACATTTTGTAGTTTACTGACTTACCCTCCAAGTTTTTTATATTTCCGAAGATAAACACTTAAATAATTGTTGGAAGACAATATTAGAATCGTCTATATAAGTTTTCTTTTTCCTTTTTTTTCATTTTTTTTGGGTTTTTTAGTTTCTTACATCAAGTAAATCGTCATTTTACCTTGCATTAAAAAAGGACCTACAACTCTAAAAGACCATTTCTTCCTCTTAACTGTATGCTTACCCTGTCCGCTTATTGAGTTAAGTGAGTATTTGACATGTTTTCATTACAACCGCACAACCTATCATGTATCATAAATTCATAATGGCTACAAGAAAATCAAGCATTTGACCCCTTTCTAACAAGTAGAAGATATAAATTGTGTTGTAATTTTCATGAAATGCAAATGCTAGCAGAAACAAAATTGTTACAGCTGAGAAAGAAAAGAGTAAAAATTCAAGTTGATACACAATCCACAACCCAACAAATCCTTCAATGGTAATGATACAGATTAGTTTCTATTAAGGAGTAAGGAGTAGAAACTATTTAATGGCCATACATATATATGATATATGATATATGATATGAATCTATCGTTTTCTTCGAGTTGAGGTTGATGAGCTTCTTCGCTCAGCTTCTCTTTCAGCAACCAAAACAGAAAACTCAGCAGCGAGCATCTCGTGTATATTCAGACCCTTGGAGCTGCTCAGATCAACAACCTCCTGAATCACATCAAGTGTAATGCTAAATCCCAATGTAGACAACACCCTGATAGCATTTGCAATCCTGCATATATTTTCCTTGGTTTCTAACGGAGTGTATGCTTGTTCTTGTTCTTCAAGGGTTGTTTGGGATTTGTTTGGGGGTTTAATCGGTTCGTCTTCTACCATGTTATCTTTAGTTTCGACATGTTCACCAACCCAGATGAAGCCATTACAACCAAGTATGAGGTCGATTCCATACTGTTGTAGATGATGGAAATGCTGTTTGCGCCTCTTTACTAGATATGGAGACACTGTCAGCATCTGACCCCTTTCTAGCTGCACGTGCAAATTACCATCATCATAAATCCTTAAGCTATAAAAGAAATACATCTTCCATTAAGATACACCAACAAGCTCACAAAATGACAATGTCTTGGAAGGAATTAGAATCTTTCCATACTTCTGGACAAGAAAAGACAACATAAACACAACACGTCCACATATGTTATAGTAAAGCAAGCCAAACCTTTCCATATTTCTGGCTCCTTGCTTGCAGTTGTAGACTACCATCACGCATGAAATCACGGACTTCAGCCTACAACAAACAGCATAATGATTAATGGGGGCATTCATCGAGTATAAATAACAAAATGAATACTAAGGTGTTGTTTCTTTTTTACAAAATGGACTTAACTAAGTGAGTTGTGTATGAGTGTTTCTTTTTAACTTAATGCAGAAAGGAGAAGTTAACAGAGAAATTCAGGAAAAGAATCAAATCTAACTTTTTTATATAAACTTGCATTCATTTATTGTTTTCTTCCAAGTGTATCGTCTTTTTCTCATATATGTTATAAACATCATTTATCCAGACAGCACTTCATTTTGGACAACACATGGACACGGTAACTTACACAGATGACGTCATTCTCTTCAAAAATGCTACGCATGTTGAGCTCATCAACTGCAGTCCGTCGCCTCTGCCAGTTTAAGGATGATCATGAGAAAGACAAAACACAACAATCCAAACAAGTTTGGAAATAACAAAGAAACAAAGTTGATAGGTACACTAATATACAGATCATACATCTTTCTCGCACTATAACAAAAAAAAAAAAAAAAACTAAGCCAGGAAGCATACACAGAGCATTATTGACAAGTCATACACGTTAACATGACCATATGATATATACCTGGATGCCATCAGGCAAATTCATTGAAGAAAGCATCAGTACTGCATCTTGGCTAAAATTAATCTCCAATCTCCACCGCTTCGGAGCAACCTTCAAATATATCATGAAAAACAAAACTCTGTTAACCAAAACATTTTAAAGCAACTGCTACAAATTTTATCTTTTCAGTTGAGAAGAACTGCATATATGCGGATTAAGCTATTGGTATAAAACTAAAGTGAACAGAAGTAGTTAGGACTTGCCTCAAGAACACGGCCTACTATGATATCACCAACCTCAGGCTTATACCTACACCAATTTCAGATTCAGCATTAAGCATTTAGCTTCAACTCTTATGAAACATAAAAAATTCAGGTAAATAGATTGCTGATGACCTGGCTCTCAAAGTGCGAACATAGACCAATTTATTTACACGTTCGATTACTCCACACACGGTTGCCACGACCTCACCCTCAAGCTTTGTCGTCCCATGACCCCTAAAATATTACAATATGGAACAAACAAGGAAAAAATCATTTCAAAATTTAAGCTTAACGATCCTATAAACCACAAATTCCATGATTCCTAAGACTATATTAGGATAAATGAGGATGGAAATGGACATGGTTTGTATTTGTTACTACAAATTTGGTACTTGCTCATACTTTTCGGCATCGTTCATTGAAGTACATAAATAAAAATCAAAATAAGCAAAAAAAAAACCCACAATATTTACATATGCATATGGAAAGTAAACATTAGTTAGGGTTTATATTTACTTGAGAACACCATCTTCTTGGTTAACAGGGATAGAATCGGCGACAGTGACTGAAGCATCAGAATTGGTTCCCGAAGACAGAGATTCCAACAGTTCGAGTGCTCTTTGCAGCCTTAGTTTCTGTGTTTGATTCAATGATAGCTCAATGCCTCTCATCTCTTCAATTGTGTTTGAATCTGTTGTAAGGAAAACAGACGCATAAACTAGGGGTGAGCATCAGGTGGTTTAGGCTGTTTTCGGGTTAGTCGGTTTGGTGTTCATCACCAAACCAGCCGCGTAATAAATTGGTTTAATCGGTTTAGTGGTAAGTCGGGTTCCGTTACCCAGTTAACAAAAATACCAATTTGGTTTGGAAATTTACTTAGATTTTTTTCACCAGTGGATATCATTATTAAGAACAGGAATGCTCGATCTTGGTAATGTATTTAGAAATCATTCATCATTATACTAACGAATCGCTGAAATCATGTTTCTATTTCTTGCATATAACTCCAAGTCAAAATACCAAAAAGACTCTAAAAATGTAAACTCTTCCAGACTCTTGTTACTCGATAAACAATTAGGAATATACTCTTAACAAGAAAAATCAAAGCTAGGATTTCAGATTTTGTACCGAAGCAGGAGGAGAAAGTCGTAGGGCTGAAGCAGGAGGTCGCCGCCGGTCGCTGTGTCTTCGTCGTCTGCAGTTGAGAACGCGAACGAGAGTTGTGCGAGAGGAGTATGAGTATCTGTGAGAGAACGAGAGTAAGGCCTCAGGTCGTCGTCTTACTCTTTTTCTTATTTGACGCAGGTATTGAAATTTAGTCCATAAACCTTAAACCCTTGTTTTCAATTACAAAAAACCCTACCTTGTCTGAAATTTAGGCCCAAATTTTAAAAAGCTATATGATTCAATCCGAACCTGGTTTTGGATGAAATACTTGACCCTGAATTATCATAGCAAAATACATCATTAAAATAAATAAATAAATAGATAAATAAACATATTTTTGGGTTATTTATTGAAAAAATTAAGTAGATGAAATTCTTTTGGCCTAAAAATCATCAATTTTTTTTTGACTCTCTAAAAAAAGTTGTTTTTACGTATTATCCGATACTAGGTGCGAGACCCGTATCTTATACGGGTTTGATAAAACAAAATATTAAATATGAAAGTTTAAACAAAAATTTATTTAAATTTGAAATTTTAGATTTGAAATTTAAAATTTAAAATTTGAATTTAAAATGAAACATATTAAATACTATATGAGTACTAATATTGTAATTTATTGGTTATTTTAAATTAAAACAATTATTAATTGAGGTGTAAATATGATGTTTTAATTAAGAAAAGATAAGAAAATGACAAATGAAAAAAACATTTATTCAAAAATACCAAAAAATGACATGTGTCCAAGTTAATGAGAGAGTGGCATGTAGCAAAATTATTTTCATTTATTATGGAGGATTAGTTAACGACATGACATTTAGTGCTGAATCACTTGATGTGATTTGTCCAAATTTAGTACTCGAACCTTTTTTTTCAATATGAAAACCAAACTAAATTCCGAATACATAAATTAAATATTCTCTTACATTTCTTCCTACGTATCCTCCTATCCATCTTAAATGGTAACATGTGTTACACAAGTATATTAAATTATTATTATTTTAATTAAATATGACACATGTCATCATTTAAGATTGGTAGGAAGAAAATGTATGAATATATTTAATTTCTCTTCTGGATAATTCATACCAAACCAGAAACTGAATCCCAATTTGGCTAAAATGATATAAAAGCCTTTAACTTTTCACAAAAATATTGGTTTTACCATTGGACGTGTTTTAGGTTTAGTAAAGCTGGATGTTTTGTTTAGTTTATTTATTTATATATTTTTAGTCGGTTTTCAAGTAATCTATCGGTTACCTAATGCCAGTAAAACCCTTGAGTTTTTCAAAAATGTTCGGATTTACCCTTAAGTTATCAAAAATATTTGGATTTACCCTTACTTTGATTGTTATTTTTATTATTTTGATTATTAGTATTATTACTATTACTATTACTATTATTATTATTATTATTATTATTATTATTATTATTGATTATTACTATATTATATTATTATTATTTTAAATGTATAAAAATATTTTTATTGATTCAAATAGATTTTTAAAAAGATATACGTGTAGTTAGTTTTATACATTTGAAAGCCTATGTATTCCTTTAAAAATGTATTTATATATTAAAATGTTTTATTTGTATTTAGTAGGTATAAATCTATTTATTTCATATAAAATATATTGTATACATATAAATATAAAAATATATATTTATAAGGTTTATATTATATAAAAGATATAATTATAGATAAGTTTTTAAATATAAAAATATATATTTATAAGGTTTATATTGTACATATTAATAAATATAAATATGTATTTATTTTATTTCATATTTATATGCATACGATAGTTTCTATAGAAAATAAATACATATTTATATTTTATATCTATTAAATAAAAATAAAAATATTTTTAAATGTATGGATAAGTGTGTAAATGTATAAATATGTTTTCGTTTGTATTTAATAGATATATTTATTTGTATCACATTGTATTTAATAGATATAAATATTTATTTATTTTGTATAAAAACTATCGTGTATATATATAAATATAATATAAGATATATATAGATAGATATCTATAGATATATATATAGATATATATATATATATATATATTTCTACTTAGGTAAACAACACCAAAAACTTTTTTTTTTGTTTTGGTTGATTATCACTCAAATAATAAAAAAAAATGTTTTGTTTATATGTATTTTACCATAGATATATATATAGATATACTATATATATATATATATATATATATACTATATATCTATATGAAATAATACATATTTATAAGTATTATTTCATATATATATATATATATAATATATATATATAACATAAATACTATTATATAAATAAATAAATATTTATACTTAGTAAACAAACACCAAATTTTATTTTTTTTCTGTTTGGGTTGGATGAATCACTCAAATAATTAAAAAAAGGTTTTGTTTATGTGTATTTTACCCATATATATAGATATATATATATATATATAATATATATATAGATATATATATATATATTTATTTCATATTTATATTACTAAGTATTTATATTAAACAAATACATATTTCATATATATATATATATATATATATATATATATATATATATATCAGTGGCGGATCTAGAACAAAATATCACGTGGTTCCCAAATTAAGTGAAGCCAATAAAAAAAATCACCAACACTTGTGAGGGGTCGGGTCGGGTCGTGTACGATTTAATGAAATATAACTGAAAAAACCGATCAGGCACCACCAATTAAATTTTTTAAAAAGCCGACTAAAATATAATTGAAAAAACCGAACGATTTAATAAAAACTAGTTGATTATTAGTGCATTGATACCTTATCGTTTGATAAAACTATGTATTATATTTAACCCTATATATTTAACAACACAAATGCCCCATTTAACTTATTTTTATCTTCTTTTAAAATGATTTTTTAAGACATTTTTAAAAAAAAAAACAAACTCAAGGTAGGTCCTTTATTTTTTCTAAGGTAGTTCTTAATTTTTGTTTTATATATATTATAAATGAAATTCAAATTTTAGGTAGGTCCTAGGACCTACCTTCTTACTTGCTAGATACGCCCATGTATATATATATATATATATATATATATATATATATATATATATATATATATATATATATATATATATATATGAAACAAATACATATTTATACTTAGTAATATGTACAAATACATATAATTATATCTTTTATTCAATATATGTAACATCCCAAAAATCATAGGGTAAAAATTTCATTTATAGTAAAACAATCATCAGAGTAAAATCTCAAAATCACGAATTGTGGAAAAACACGGGTGTATGCGCTGCGATCAAGTCGGATCGTTCCCTTTCGAACCGGAAGTATCTGAAACCATAAACCATAAAATGTAAGTACAAAGCTTAGTGTGCTCCCCAAAATACCAAATACCATAGATATCATATAACGGGTACTGCCCAAATGAGATACGGGCCCCGCCCACACTCGCATAATGGGCCTCGTCCAGTGATATATGGGCCCCACCCACACTCGAATAACGGGCCCCGCCAAATGAGATACAGTCCCCCGCCCACACTCGAATAATAATGAGATACGGGACCCGCCCACACTCGAATAATAATGAGATACGGTCCCCGCCCACACTCGAATAATAATGAGATACGGACCCCGCCCACACTCGAATAACGAGCCCCACCCAATAAACATACATATACAAGTACAGTATCACACTGACAACAAGTATAATAACATAACCAAACGAGGGTCGGCCTTGGTGACTTAGACCCTCTAAACCCAATGAGGAAACTCACCTCGACAGCTGAAACCACGAATAATCTATGCCTGCTGATCCGCTCGAATCCCTGCGCTATCAACAAATGACACCCAATTAACAATTGGGTTCCAAACCAAATCCAATAATCCATAAATAGGGTAAAAGACCATTTTACCCTTTACCTAGTTTGGTCCAAGACCAAGGCCCAAACTCTCCATCATAAAGGCCCACAAATCAAAAGTCGTCCAAAGCCCACTTATGGCCCAATTTTTCAAATTGGGCCCAACCCTTACATAGGCCTTACTCTAAAGCCCAATAACTTTTCCTGATCCAAAATACATGTCTACAAATGGTCCAACAAATTCCTAAGCAAATCCAAGCCTGAACGATAGCTCAAACCCAAAATGACACCACAAGGCCCTAAGCCTTATGATAACTGATGATATGGCCACAACCCCGAATAATGAAGAAATCTGAAACCGAGTGTTACAACTCTCCCCCACTTAAATTAGATTTCATCCTCGAAATCGCTCTTTACTAACACTCATATCATACCAAGCAACCCGAGGAACGCAACCGAAAACCCTGAGCATACAACGACCTTCACAGAGCAACTAAACCCAACCCTGGCAGAACTCTCCGACACGACGAAGACGAATCCATAAACCCATGCATAAAACCACTTCTACCTTTCTGAAGCCTAAAGTCTCAGGTTGGTTTGACCCCCATATAAACTGCCCACACTAAACCATTACCATGTCAATTCCACATTCCATACCAAACTAAACAGAACACTTTTCCAACCCTGATTATCTTGATGCTACCATTGGGAACAACGTCACTAATCATAAACAGCTGCAGAACACTTATACTTGACAAAAGGCTCAGATAATCCTTCAAGTAGAAGATTCATCCCTGTAACGGTTAGAATCAAACGAGAGTTGCGCAACAGGGTCAAATCAATTACTCTGGGATTATTTAATCCAAACTGCAAGTGACTTAGCATTTCTCGAACAACAATCTACTCCACACCTACAAATCCCAATTCACTAATACTGCCCGAAACATCGCTGCCTCCTAACTGCTTTCCAAAAGCAACCGAGACCTCCCTGGTCCCAACTTGTATGCCAACTATCTGAAATACCAGATTCCCGCCCAGTCTCCCCATGCGACTTCCAAAAGAAAGCCTCAACTGGCAATAATTACCCAAACCATCTCACCACCAAGCCCAATGCTAAATTGAATGCTACATGACCAACTGTAGTCTTTTATCAAACTCGGTCTCCCACGACCTACCATTTCCTGATTCCCAGCATGTTGTGGACTTCCCATAGTTTTACAAGCTGACCCACTCTGGTCCTAACCATCTGAAAAAATTTGTGACCAATCATGGATTTGCCACACCCTTATCGATGCATAGGGACCGGTGAATGTTACGGGCCACTCCGCAGTCTTACAACACTCTCACACTATCTGCTAAATAGTGAATGCTACGGGAAACCCCGCAGCCTTACAACACTTCTATACTAATTG